TACCAAGCTGACTTTTTTGAACATTCGTAGAGTATTATTTTAAATATTTATACATAGTTTCGTTGGAAGTGAAAAAACTACGCTATTGGTTTTTATCGGTTTTTTTTATTGGCTTTATTTCTGGAAGATGTACATTTATAGTGTAAATGATCATAGCACATACAATGTTTACTTAAGTATATATATATATATAGAAAAGGTCAGCTTTTACTTCTCAATATTAGATGGCTGGCGAACAAGAAATAATGCAATATTTAACAAAAGAAAAAAAAAAAAAAAAAAAAGAGCAAAAAGGAATCCCTTTACTCTTTTCTATTGGTCATCATGTTTCTCGTATCGAATTTTTGGGTTTTAATTTGTAGAGTATTGACAAACCCCAACCAAATGCGATGGGGTCACGTTCAATTACAAGTCTTAACATGTTAACATGTTCTCCAAAAAAAGCACATAGATTATATTGTACAAAATTCGCATGACGAAAGCTACATGTATCCCAAGCATTTAAATAAATTCACTTGAAACTTTATAATATGAAACTGAAATTTGGTTCAAATAAAACATTCATTGTGATTTTATATATTCCCGCTATTACATTATTTGCATCACACATAAGCTGCAAAAAAATTTGTCCAGTATACTGCCATCTGTTAATATGCTTAGAATCTTAATTGAAAAATGAAAAACGATAGATCGTGTAAGGTGATGATGATTATGATTGGTAATAGATTGAAGAATTCAGTGCATACTTCTCAAATTGTTTTGAACCCTTTTGCACCTTCTTCTGAACCTTGAGTACATTGAAACGAACTGTCTTCGACAGAGGACTAATCATGGATCGCACAAACGAGACAAATGTTAGCGAAATATGGGCCTATGAATTCAAAAAAAAAAAGATAGACAGATCGAAATCCTCACCGGCATTGACCTACGGTCACAGTGTCACCTGGCTATTTGAAGGAAGAAAAAAAAAAAAAAGGTACGACAGATGAGAATTGCATGTACGCGGTACGTAAAGGGATCATGATTATCTCAAACATACTTGAACGCCGATAAAGGCCGGTGAAAGATGGGCCGCCAAATTCTTGTGACGTTTTTCATAACGGTTGTATTTTGTTACATAGTGTAGGTATTCCCGACGTACAATGATGGTCCTTTTCATCTTCGTGGATACCACCACACCGTTCAAAATACGACCACGAATAGACACCATACCTCTCCAGGGACACTTTTTATCCACATAGTGACCTTCGATGGCTTCTTTTGGTGTCTTGAAACCAAGTCCCACGTCCTTATACCAGGGAATTCTCTTTTTCCTGGATTTGGTCTTCTTGATGACCTTTGGATTCTGGAAAATTCCGACTTGCTTTTGAAAAGCTCTTTCAATCTAAAAAGAGTTTCTTATCTCGTCAGCCAAAAATTCACCCATCCACTTCAAACTCGCGAACAAAAATACGAACTTGTTCAGACATGTTACTTAGTTCTTTAAGGAACAGGCCACAGAACTGATGATGGTGTTAAAATTTTTTTGATGAAAATTTATTTATTGATAATGTCCACCAATCAAATATAATCACGTGTTAGCATATCGATTTTAAACACGATTGAGACGTTGCAAAGCCTAGAATTCTTATTTTTTTGCCATAGAAAATGTCGGAAAAAGATGATGGCTCATGTAACTCAGAGGTCACAAACACTACCGAAAGACTTGCGAAACTACGTTCCTTATTGAAGAATGAAAAATACAATTTAACAGCTTAGTACGTTCTTCATATGAATGAATGACACCGCTCTCCAAATGTTTTTCTAATGCGCCTCCCCCTGATCATTGTCTTATTTAGTGTGATCCCATCGGAGGACGCTCATCAGGTCTGAAAACTTGTTTCGATGGACCGCCCTACTTTCTCATATACATAACGTGTGCATTCGAATTTCTTCGCTAATTCTACGTGTCGTAATTTATATTCATTTCTTGTTCTGGTTGAATTCTCAAATTTTAGAGCGAGTATACAGCAGAATGTGATGCTCGCAGGGCGTTTATCTCAGGATTTACGGGCTCTGCAGGTATTTTTAATATACGACGCGTGCTGTTAAACAATTGGCTAGATGAGGAATTATCGATTCACAGGATTGGCTGTGGTTTCCGCGGATAGCGCGGCGCTTTTCACCGATGGACGATACTTCCTCCAAGCAAGCAAGCAGTTGGATCATAATTGGACATTGATGAAACAGGGTTTGCCGGATGTTCCCACCTGGCAAGAGTATTTACAGGTATGACACGAATCCTTTACGCCCTCGATCAATGATAAATTTAACCTATCTTTAATTGATTGACAGAACCTTCCCAAAGGTTCGAAAATTGGAATTGATCCGACATTAATTACAGCCCGTAAGTGCAATTCACACTTTGATCAGTTTCAGTGTATTTGGATTTAATCTTCCTGCGTCACATGAACCAATAGCCGATGCCAGAACATTATCCGAATCTCTGGGGAGGAATGGGTCATCATTGGTGCCCACAGATGAAAATTTGGTGGATTTGGTATGGGGGGACGCGAGACCACCTCGTCCTACCAATCCATTGATTGTCTTAGAAGAACGTTACACGGGTAATTATGATTTATTTAAAAATTTAAGCTCAAGTTGATCTTAACTTACACTATTTTTTCTCATCGCATCGTGTAGGAAAACCATATAAGGAAAAAATTGCGAATCTCCGAGAAGAGCTTGCCAAAGAAAAGCGTTACGGTTTTGTCGTTTCCGCTCTCGACGAAATTGCTTGTCAGTTTAATATCTTCTCTCTTTTTCCAAATGTCCGTTTAGTCACCGTCGCATTTGATAATTTACAAATTATGAAATATGACTTTACAGGGCTTTTTAATCTTCGAGGATCTGACGTAAAATTCAACCCGGTCTTCTTTGCCTATGCTCTCATCACCGGAA